TGATCCTCAAGGTGTTGCTACAAAGAGCATTACCCTATATGGAGCAAGAAATACCTGATGTCCAAGCTGGATTCCATAAAAAAAGATCATATTATGAATGTATGCTGGATATTGGAGGGCATCAAAGAATTCTAGAAGATCAATCTATGCTTTCTAGAGAACAGCAAAGCCTTTGACTGTATAGATCATGAGAAGCTATAGATGGTCCTGAAAGAGATAGGTGTGGCTCAGCACTGGTTTGTCCTGATGTGTAACTTGTCTAGAAAAACAAAATGCTGCTAGGACAGACTATGGACAGAGCGAATGGCTTCTCATAAGCAAAGACATCAGACAAGGGTATATTTTATCTTCCTATCTCTTCAATCTGTACACAGAACATATCAAGAAGAAAGTTTGATTAGAATCAGAGGAAGGAATGAAAATTGGCAGAAGACACATTAATAAGTTAATGTATGTAAATGATACCATATTATACTGACACAAAACAGCAATTAATTGGAACAACCCCTACTGAAAGAAGAAAGCACAAAAGCAGGACTGCAGTTGAACATTAAGAAAACAAAAATCATGACTACAGAAGAATCATAGAACTGTACTGTCATCAATAAAGAAAGGGGAAGACCAACTATGCGATGAATTGATTCCATAAAGGAAACTACAGTCTTGAGTTTACAAGAGTTGAGCAAGGCTGTCAAGGGCAGAACACTTTGGAGGGCATCCATTAATATGATTGCCATAAGTCAGAGACAACTTGACAGCACATAACAACATAAAGACTAGTCATGTCACCATTCAGTTCTTAAAATGTCAGTAATCTTCATGGTAAAATTGTAATTGATCCAGGATCAGAATAAATGGAGTGATTGTCATCTTTTTTTTAATACTGCATGGGAAACCCATGGCTTTCCGTTATCCTTATTTTTCAGAGACAGCAATTGCCTAAATTGAAATGTGACATAATGAGCTGAATAGTAGGCGTACCAAATTTTCCTTGCTGAGTCACTCTTTATAAAACCCTCTTTTAGGCCTCCCCTTAACCTTGGTGTGCAACACTATTAAGCATTTTTTTACAAGACCAGTAGAAGTTTTCTGGTACACAGTGCCTCTAATCCCAAGGATATCATCTGAAACATATTTTCTTCACTTAATTCCAGTATAATGCACTGAAGAGTTGTCTTCCTGGATCCATGATTTGCCTACATGGTTTAAAGCCGGTGTGTCATGCTTGATTTCTTTTAATGAAGATTCTAAAGGAAAAGACTCATGAGGCATCCCCCCAAACACACGCAGCTCAAACACGCTTGAAAAGCACTCCTCCTCACATACAGCAACGGGTATCCAACAGACACACCCACAGCCAGGCTTCCTGAAGAACCCATTGAGTCAGAGGAGGAGACCAAGCAACCACCAAGCACTAAAAGAACATTGACACGGAAAAGTTTTGCCCCAGGCAGATTCCCATCAGTGAAGCTTGTGGTCTAAAGTCCCAAAGAAATCAGGCTCCTTGGGAGCAGAATGGCTAGAAGACTTGATTAATTGTTTGCAACTGGATCTGGGTGATTCTCTGAGTAACATGCTATTATTATTGTATTACATTATCATTGCATTACAGGTATATCCTGCCTATCTTCCTCTTGCAAGCAAACTAAGTTAGCTTATAAGGTTCTTCTCTACTTCATTTGTTCCTCATAAAAATTCTGTGAGGTAGATTAAGCTGAGAGTCAGTCATTGCCCCAAAGTGAGTTTCATGGCTGAACAGGGACTAGAACACGGCTCTCCAGAGTCCTAGACCAGCACTGTAACACTACATCACACTGGCCCTCATGTATAAGTTATATGTAGCTAAATAAACCTTCAGTTCTGGACTTAGTGAAGCAACACAGACCCTACAACTTCATAACACAACTATCTAGTGAATCTCACATGTTTTTGAATCTTAGCTGCCAGCTTTATTTTGAGACCACGTTTGTCCACTGGCTTTCTCTTCCAAGATCAGCTTTGACATCACTCAACAAATTGGCCCACCTTTATATGTGTTGTAATGAAGACATTTAATCTGGCCCTCAAAATTTCAGCAAAAGGTTTAGTAAAGCAATTGATTAAAACAACGGAACTACAGAACTCCACACGCTCAGGCTCTTTCCATACTTTGATATTAGCACTGTCCTGGAGGAATGCCTTGAATCTGGGACAGGGCTCAATTAAATGTGGTGTTAGCTGGATATTAGTCTTTTAAATAAAAACTCCAGAAATCCTGCTTATAGCAGGTGATTTATAGCTTTTCAGTTTCAAGATTTATTTCTTCTTCTGAAGTTGCTTGATCCCTTTGGTTACTGTCAATCAGATGCATTTACAATTTCCCTAAATGAACTTCTATAACCTGTCCTTGTGATTTCAGACTTTAAATATGCTTTGTAACACAGAGATAGACAAGAAAAGGAAAACAAGGTAGAAATGGTGAGCAGATATCTAAAACTGGTGGAAGTTTCAGATCATGTACTCATAATGGTAGACTTGCATATCAAATTTCAACAGTCCACTAGTTAAATATGGGGACTAGATCCTGTGCTGCTCTGGTGTTGGGAGTGAAAAAGCCAGTTTCTCTTATTGCACATCCTGAAAGCCCCCTGGCTGGACTGCGGAGGAGCATGAGGAGGAGCAGGGAGGGACCTTAGAATGTGGGCCAATTCCAGAAACTGAGATGAGAGAATTGAAGAGGCTTAGCTCAAGGCCAAGCGGCCTCTGGGAGTTACCAAGATGTGCAATTACTAGGGGGCTTGGAACAGGGGATTATCTGAGAGACAGATGACGTGGGTACAGCTCTTGACCCCATGACACTGCGTTGGCAGAGGATGATGGCGCAATTAGTGGATCTCTGTACAGAGAGGAGGCATGCTCATTTTCAGAAAGCCCTTCCCAAAGGGATGGAGCCCAGGCATACTCATGAAGAAAGTACTCAGAGGTGAATACTAGATGGATTCAATAAACCACTCAGTGTATGCTCAGAAAGAAGAAAGAAAGGTCTGTGGCTTTGAATGTGCAAAGGGAGGGACCCTGGCACATGACATCCAGGGGAAATACTCTTCAGATAAAATAGACAAAGAGATTGCTCAGTCCTTTCAACATAACTTATCTAATGAATTTTGATTCAGGGCTCAAAGAAACCAGTCACCAGAGAAGTTTATATTAGCAAGTTAATTGTGCTTATAAAATTAAAAGTGCACTGAGGGAAAAACTGAGTTCTAACATTACAGCACAAGAGGAGCAGCATAAGGGGATGGGCAGCAATAGCTTATACACAGAGCTAGCGCAGAAGAGGAATAAGTTGGGAATTGCTAAAATCACAACAGCTCTTTTGTATTTCAATTTATATTATAGTTTTTCCTCTTTATCTTGAATTGACTTCAGCCTTTTCAATTCTTGCCTCATTAAGTCGGTTACTACAATGTATCAGAATCTGGTCTCATTTGGCAGCTTGGACACTGCCATCCCAAGTCCCCTTCATGATCTACACCTCACCAACCACTGGACAAAGAGAGCGTATTCTGGCATTCCATGACATTCACCACAGTCTTGATGTTTCAGCCACCAGCCTCAGTTTTTCTAAGTGTCTCAGCTTTTGGCCACTTCCCTAATGTCATCTTGGCCACTCTTCTTTTCTGCATCTGAATGCTTATACTCGAGGATTCGTTCTTTGTTCCAGCAATGTCTTTTAATGTTGCAGATAGATCAGATATTTCACTTTCAAGAGGCTTTATCATTTAGAACTATTTCACTGTCAAGTCTTTGCAAAATTGCTCAAATTATTCTACCATTTCTTTCAATATCTCCTTCATAGCTAACACTCACTCCCTTTAACTATCCTGGCTTTGGGTACTCAAACATTCTTCATTTGACAGCTCCATATTTAGCTCTGGCCTCCATGATCCAAAGTACAAGTTCACTCTTAGGGTCTTCCTTACTATGTTTCCCAACTGTGGGTATTCCTTTAACATAACTCTTCCCCCAGTATAATGTCTCAAATATTGGAGAGTTGTTCTTCTAAGCTTTACCACCCTAAAAGTCTTGTTCTATCTCTCTAGAAGCATTCTTCATGGCCTTGGTGGCTCCTAGTTCTGCGTCTTACTCAATTTTTCAGGTGTACATGTTGAATATAACAGACCTATTGTCCAAAATTGTGTGAGAGCCAGTACAGTACAGTACAGAAAGGCCATTTTCAAAAGCTGTTTGCCCAGGAACCTTATTCAAATATGCCACCACATCATAATACAAGGTGCAAGGGATTTTCCTATTCCCTTTTTTTTTTCATCATTTTCAGAACTCATATTATTTCTTATCTAATCCTGCCTTCCTATTGTCTTCTGATTCTTACCCTGCTGATATATCATCTCACTGATCCTTGTGCTTTCCAATTCCCTTTTCTCTTTAGGGTGCTTTGGGCAGAATCCAAAAGGGTGCCTGCACCTCTGGCAGTTCTCTTGCACTCTGCTGATTCTTTTGTGCAAGCAGCAGACCTCACTGATACCATTGCAGTACTTATGCAACAGAGATTTAGTGCTTCCAAATGAAGCCCTTAAAAAGAGGAATTGCTCATTTCTCGAGTCAGCAAAGTTCCCTTATTCAAGCTCTGCTGACTTGCTCCATTCCGGAAATGACCATTTCCAGTTACCCTTGAAGCACTAAATCTTTTATATGCAAGCAGTGGGTCTGACTTGCAGGCACAAATAGGAGGACTGAAAGGGAGTCAGTGCAGGTGCAAGTGCCCCAGTAGATTCTAGTCACCTGTGCTGGGGTAAATGCTGCTGTATTTCTATATCCTATGCATGACACAAACTTGCTCTCACAGGCCAATTTTATGGCTACATTCCCCCAAAATACAGCATTAGGGCCTTGCTCTGTTTTAGGAGTTCTGTTGGCTGGGTAAGATCTCCCTGTAGAGTGTGTTGTTTGTGCAACCATTTCCCCTCATCTCCCCACTTCCTTCATTTATTTATCCCTAGCCCCTTCTGCCCCACCCCAAGAGGTCGTGTGTGTAAGCACCAGCTCAACCACCATCCGGGTAAGTTGGGTACCACCACCGGCTCAAAGCCGCAATGGAGTCATCACGCAGTATTCCATCGCGTACCAGGCGATAGAAGGAGAGGACAACACCAAACATGTGGTTGAGGGAATTGGACACGAGCATTCCAGCTGGGAGATCCACAATCTGGAGAAATGGACAGAGTACAAAGTGTGGGTGAGGGCTCACACAGAAGTGGGTCCAGGGCCAGAGAGCAACCCAGTCTGGGTTCGTACTGATGAAGACGGTAGGTTCCAATTTTATGATGGAAGGTAACAAGGGCTCTTTTGGTTCTGTTAATGGGGTAGCATTTGCATGTTCTTAGGGTCACTTCTTCCTGCTTTTGGGACAACTCAGGTCATTTTCCATGATACACACACACACTTTTAAAAAGCTTTCAGGGCAGCTGCTTTTTAGAAGGGGAGGTCCAAGCACAATCAGTAAGAAAGAAAGGGTCACTTGCAAATGGTGTTCATAGAAATGGAAGTATAATTTCCTCCCCCTGGTGGAGATGTCTGCTGCCTACAGGATTTTGTTCCCCTTCTGTGTTACATGGGCAGAATACTTTTCTATCAGGGACATTCTGAAGCAAAAAATAGAATTGCATTTGCTAGTTTGTCAGTTATGTCATACCAGCTTAATTCTGTTCCTTAGAAAGTGTCAGTGCTTGTAGTGACAGAAGGCACTTCCCAGCTGCAGCCAGGCCTCAGAGACCAGAGAGGGCCTAGGCAGGTAAATAGCGAAAGGGAACCAATCTCAGGCTGAAAGGAGGCATTTTCCATTTTACTGCCCTTGCACCACTGTAATCCTGGGAAGTGGTGCATAGCAATCTTGACTGACTACTTCTTAGGGTCTCTGCGCATCTGTATATCCTGCTGCCTGAATTGTTTGCATCAGTTCTCATTTAGTAAAGCCTTAGCCAGAGGGAAACTGCTACCCTAGAAATGTCATGGCAAGCTCTCTGCATTAGTTTGAGGGCTGCACAGTTGGCCATCCCAGCTAAGCTCTCTGCCAGGAAAGGTTTTAGAACCTTCTGATTTTTCATAACCAGCAGCACAAGAAGGGAGCTGATATGCTTTTTGCATCTTAAAATATCAGTTTCTAATTCACGCTTATAATTGAGGTGACCTCCACTGACCCAACAAAATTCAATCCCTCGACAGCTGCTCTTCACATAAGGCTCTGCCCTTTAATGCTAGCAATAGGTAAGCCTCACAATGGCTGTGCCTTGACAACATTGTCACAGGCAGTGTCACAGCCACATCTAACTCTGGGAGGAAGAGGGATGTTAACCAATTACCACATTGCTGTCAGATCTGTTCTCCACTTGCTTTTGAGAAAAGATAACCATCCAGGAAAGAAAACCATCCAAGCTTAGGCAGCAAAGTGGATTGAGGCCCATGCTTACCTTCTCAGTGCCCTTCCTCCTCCTGCTGCTGGACTATATACTCCTCTTCAAGTAATTATGTTCAGTTATCTAAGAGAGAGATCTACAGAAAATAACCAGTTGCCTGAAGCTGTGTGCCTGCCTGCCACATGTCTGTGTAGAACACTTGCAGGTTCTACCCAGCTTTCGGTTTCCAATTAACCTTGTACTGTACTGGCAATTGGAGCACTGTGTGGTTTTGGTCACTGTGGAGTTGTCCCATAAAAGCAGGATGATGTTCTTCACTTCCAAGCTAGTGCTGCATAACAAGATGGCAGTGGTACTCTCTGGATTGCATGCATTGCACTGCCCACCATATGCCAGAACAGAAAATGTTTTCGGAGAAAATTGTTACTGTTGTTGCTGCTGTGCACTGATTATCACCTTATAAGGCGATGAAGCAGGCTGGGAGGGCGCAGGTGAAGGAAATCTCGGGGCAAATCTGATTGAACACACTTACGTGCTCACTATCGAGCCTATGCTGTGGCAGTGAGGGCAGCAAAGAGGCAGTTCTTCTCCACTTCCATTGCTTCCTCACAGTGCCGTCCAGCGAAGCTTTTCAGAATAGTGTGAGGCCTAACACACGCTGGCCAGGAAAATGATGTGGTTGCACCTTCGGCAGCCCGCTGTGACAACTTGCCCAGCACTTTAAGGAAAAGATCGCTCAGATTTGCTGCGATCTGGACTCCACAGTTGGTACTGTTCCAGTACGGGAAGTGTCCAGAGCTCCGTCTGGCCCATCTTTAATGGATGAGTTTCAGCTATTGCAGCCTGATGATATGAACAAAGTACTTGGGGTGGTACATCCTACCACCTATCTTCTTTACCCTTGCCCTTCCTGGCTACTTAAGGAGGCCAGTTACGGGATTGGTCCCTGGGTCCAGGAGGTTATTAATGGCTCACTGAGGGAGTGCGGGTCCCAGCCCCCTTGAAGGAGGCGGTGATCCGGCTTGCCTGAAGAGGGCATCCCTGGACCCAGAGGTGGCCACTAACTTTAGACCAATGGCCAATATTCTGTTTTTGGGCAAGGTGTTAGAGCAGGTGGTGGTGGGACAACTCCAAGCACTCTTGGATGAAACGGACTATCTGGACCCATTTCAGTCTGGCTTCAGACCCAGTTATGGTACTGCATCTGCCTTGGTCGCCCTGTATGATGACCTGTGCAGGGGGAGGGACAGGGGGAGTACATCCCTGTTGGTTCTCCTGGACCTCTCAGCAGCTTTTGATACCATCAACCATGGTATCCTTCTGGATAGGCTGGCTGACTTGGGAGTAGGAGGCACTGCGTGGCAGTGGTTCCACTCCTATCTGGCCAGCCAATTCCAGATGGTGGTGCTGAGGAACTACAGCTCTGCGCCATGGTAGCTTTGCCATGGAGTCCCGCAGGGCTCTGTTTTGTCCCCCATACTATTTAACATCTACATGAAACTGCTGGGAGAGGTCATTAGGAGGTTTGGGCTGTGGAGTCATCAGTATGCTGATGACACCCAGCTCTGCCTCTCATTTACATCTGCTCCAGGTGAGGCGGTGGCTGTACTGAACTGGTGCCTGGCTGAGGTAATGGGCTGGATGAGGACCAATAAACTGAGCCTCAATCCAGATAAGATGGAAGTCCTGTTGGTGGGTGGTGCGGGTCTCCAGGTAGGTGATTTTGACCCAGCTATGGACGGGGTAGCACTCCCTCTAAAGGACAGGGTCCGCAGCTTGGGAGTACTCCTTGACCCAGAGCTGTCACTGGAGTTCCAGGTGGTGGCAGTGGCAAGGAGTGCTTTCCTACAACTTCGACTGATCCATCAGCTGCGTCCTTACCTGGATGAGCACTCCCTAGCAACAGTGATACATGCTCTGGTAACTTCCCACTTGGGTTACTGCAACATGCTCTACGTGGGGCTGCCCTTGAAACAGTCCAGATAGTTCAGCTGGTACAGAACATTGCTGCCAGGCTGCTGATGTGGACCGGCCATTACTCTCACATAATGCCAGCCCTCTACCAGCTCCACTGGCTCCCAGTTGAAGTCTGGGCCCAATTCAAGGTGCTGGTTTTAACCTATAAAGCCCTGAACAGCTTGGGACCAGGATACCTGAAGGAGCACCTCTTCCCTTACATGCCCTCACACCCCTTAAGATCTGCAGGAGAGGCTTTGCCCCAGGAGCAATCTTTAACAGAGGTAAAAAGAACAACTACCCAGAGCAGGGCCTTCTCTGCGGTGGCGCCCAGATTATGGAATACACTCCCTGGAGAGGTACACCTGGTGCCGAGTTTATATTCTTTTTGGTGCCAGATTAAAACCTTTTTATTTAATTGCTATTTTAAAAATTAATATTTTTATTGTTAACTGTCGCTTCTTTGTTTTGTTTTTTATAATTTTATGGATTTTGTTATTGTTTATTGTTTTTAATTGTACATTGTGAGCCATCTCAAGATGCCGAGGCATGTGGTGATGGCATATAAATTTTTAAATAAATAAATAAATAGGTAAGTAATAAGGATGTTATAGTTCCAACTGGTAAATTAAGTATAAACTGACTTTTGAGCATGCTTGTCTTTGCGAAGGGTTTGTTTGTTAGTTACTTAGCTAGCTAGCTAGCTAGTTAGTTAAGGCAATTGCCACAATGCCTTACTTTCCATTTATCTATCTCTATAAAAGCACTCTATAAGCTTGAACGCAGAGGCAACAACCACAATCTGCAGAGTTCCCTCCTTCCTTACAGGTCTCTTGGATTAGGCTATGTAGCAGCTGATCTTAGAACAATCAAGCTATAAATTCCTCTTTCCACTTTATCTGCATGATATTTATCTGAAATCTGCCCTCTCCTTAATGTGTATAGCAGAAGTGGGGCTATTTTGTGCTCTGGGTAAATGTTACATTTTGCATCTTTTTTGTTGTTCTTTGAATAGCAGGACAGCTATAAAACACAGGTACTATAATACATGCCATTCATTCCCCTGTTAATTTCTGGTATCTGCTTCCACACTGTGGTGCTATGCACAGAAAAATATGTGCATGTTTCTCTCTGTATAGAAACCTCTATCCCTTCTGAGTAAATAGGTTTGAATGTGAGTATTGGGGTTTCACTTTGAGGCACAGGGTGCCACTGCTAGTTGCAATATGATGATTGTTTCCAGCTAACATTTTCCATGTGCATTCCAGTGCCCAGTGCTCCACCACGGAAAGTAGAGGTGGAGTCTGTCAACTCAACAGCCATTCGGGTCTCCTGGAAATCGCCCATTTCCAACAAACAGCATGGCCAAATCCGAGGCTATCAAGTAACCTATGTGAAGATGGAGAATAATGAGCCAGTCGGACCACATCTTATCAAAGATGTCATGGTGGCAGAGTCTCAGGTATAGCCTGGTGACAATGAATAGAAATACATGCAGAAAGGCCTGTATGATAATGGCAATTTTCACTTTACAGGGCTGATTAAAAGTCTAACCCAGGGACATTCCTTAGTATCATGTCAGAAACTAAGTTAACATTCTGTTTACCACTTCACCCTTTTCTGATAGGTATTGATAAGGTTGTGTTTTTTTGCCACACATGATTGGAATCAGTTGCCAAATAAAGGGGTTTAGAGAAGTACCTTCTGCTGTGGAAGAAGGCATTGTGGAAAGGGGTGGGCAGGAATAAATTACTCTGGTAAGGCTCATGGCTCTCCTTACTTCATTCAAACCATTACAGAGTGAAGCAGGCATTATATAATTTCTCTCTGCAGTTGACTGGCATTCCAAGCTTGTCAGGATTTGCAGAGTACCAGGGCTGTACCCAGAAATGACATTGAGATACAAAGAAAACAGTAGGCTAGGAGTAACTTTCAAGGTGTCTCCTGAAATGTTTCCATCTGCTGAAACTGGATACTTCTTGGGGTGGGAGGAGCCTCATGAAGATGTGCACTTTGTTCCTAGGACTTTTACAGTTGCAAGTTAGGGGTGATCCGTTGTGACCAAGTCTATTTGAATGGCACCCAGTAGGATTACCAGATAGCTGCATCGGCCAATTGATCTGTCTATTGAATGCAGCACTTGAATTATTTATATCTATCTCAACAAGAAGCAAAGCACAGCCAAAAAAATTAAAAAAATAAATTTCCTCTTCATGCTTTGGCGTTTCAATTCCAGCCCAAGGAACAAGAGAAAGAAATTATGTAAGACAAAGACTTACTACTTCGGAACTGCAATGCCTGGCCTAGAACATCAGCTTTTTTTACTTTTTGTATTTAAGAAGTTTTCCAGTTTCCTTGAGAAGGTTGTCCTTTTAGATCAGTGTAATTCATCATTGCTAACATGGTCATTGGGGTTAAAGATTTGATCCTCAATAAACTATGCTGTTAATCTTCCCTGAATTAAATAATGATTGAATTTAAACCAGGTTTTGTGTAAGACAGAAAAGGAATCTACATAGTAAAACAGCACTAGTTTAAAGACCAGATTTGTCCACCATTCCCTTAGAATGCCAAGTGTTCACTGCATGGTCAGTATTCTCCTGTTTATCTTCTACGGATCTGTCCCTGCAGCAAAATTTCACCATCTGACAGAGATCACAGGCTACCTGTTTTCCTGCAGATGTGCTATAGTAGTCTATGGTCATGCCTTGCAAAGTTCTTACTCTCTGCCTGTCCCATTGCCTAGAAAGAGGATAAAGTTTTGCCCTTGTCATTTTGTAGAAAGAAGCGTTATCTTTATTCTTCACATGAACTTACTGGGACACATCCAGTCCTTTGGAACATGGATTGCATATAGTAGTTTAGTAAGAAGTTTATTGCTGGCCATTGTTTTCTGCAGAAATATTGCAACATAATCCTCAGGGCTAAACTGAAGAGGTATTCAACCAGAAAGGTACTTCTAGTGAATGAAGAGTCTGCTCATTCTTTATGAATTGATTCTGGATCTTAGCCAGGGAGTTAACAAGTAGCAGATACTGCAAGTAACCCCTGCCCCATGAGTGCAAACTGCAAGTAACCCCACTTGGCATTTTAGATCATCTTGTATGTTCTTGGCTGATAACCAGGAAAAGGTGCAAGCACTGTCAAGTGAACTTTTGGAAGGCCAGCATGTAGCAATGTTTAATATACTTGATTCAGGTTCCTTAGAATATGAGTCAGGATTGCCAGGGAACCAGAAGGGGATTCCAGTTATGCTGGGCTGGGCTGATTATCTGTGAAACCTGTCTATGCAAACCAAGCAACCTTTATCCCTGCATAGAAGAAGGATGGAGATGTCCAGATTAAAGACAACATTGATAATTGTTAAGAAAATTTTGCAGAGGCTGAATATAGGTAAAAGAGAAGGGAATTACTGTTGCATTCAGATCCAGAAGTCCATGTTTAGCTACATCTGTCTTGCTGAAGGTGGGAACAGCTTATGGTGGCAAATATTTCCTTGTCTCCACTGGTACCTTGCTTATTTCCTACAATGGACTGCTGTGCTAAGTGTTTTTATCATGAATGTTCTTTCCCCTTGGAGTTCCTCAGTCATGTGTCTGTGACCATTTAAAATAAGACTTCTCTTTGTGATTATCTTTACACCAAACCTTTCATTTCAGTATCTTTTGAGTTAACCCAGACTGAGCATTCAGACCCCTTAAAACTGAGCAGTACCTCCACCTACGGTTAATTCTTCTCTGCTGTTTCCTGCTGGGATCTTTGTCAACTGCTCTCCATGCCACAAGACTCTATGCTATTGATTTTGCTTTCTCTGTTCACAGATCTCCTTGGCCATTTGGGATAACTCTATTTCAGTTTTTCCAACTTGTTGGTTAGGTTTGAAAGCAAACTCATCAGAATCTGTCCCTCTAGTATTGGCAAACTTCCTCTTGTATTCAGCCTACTATTGCAAAGTGAGTCAAGCCAAGAAGAAGTCCATAAATGCTCAGGGAGCAACGGGTGTGCAACTGGCAACCTTCTTCTGCATCAGGTGTAACAGCCCTGCTGCACCTGGCCTGGAAGAGGAAAGCTGCTTGGGCAGTGGTCACACAATGCTCCATTCCTGCCAAGCCCCATGCAAACAACCTTCTTCCGTGTCAGGCACAGCAGCACAAATGGCATGGAGGAGGGATGCTGCTTGCACCATGTGTACAGTTTAATTCCCAGTGAGCATTCCATCGATTCTGGACATGCTCATCAGGAATTCAAACTCGGGGCTGCAACAAAGCAGGCCAGAGTTTGGAGAGCCAAGTCCAGGGAATCCACCAGATTCCCAGCCTCAGTACAGATTCTTCCACATGGCTCTTATTGGCATATATTGCTGTATCATATGCTTCTGTTTTCTTCCTCCCTGGCTGTCCATTAGTCAAGAATATAGGAAGGACAAATACACACATTTCTTCTTCCTGGATTTAAATTGGTATTAGAGAAGCTTAAAACTGTACCATTTCCCCCCTCTCTCTTTGTACCTAATGACTGCTTGCCCTGTCAGAGCTTTTTACACTTAAGTGGGTTTCTGCCTTATATCCTTGCCTCTGGCTGATGGATTGACAACAGGACGGAGTCAATCAGTGTGCCTTCCATGAATAGACAGACATGGCTTTATCTCAGTGCTTGCCTGGCTATATTACTGCAGCATCAGCTCAGGAGGCAGAAACAGCCACCAGTACCCTGTGCTAGGGGGAATTCACCCATCTGTTTCTCTGTGGAAACAATCCTGCTATTTCAAGTGTTAACCTGGAGCAGAGAAACAATCAGTATCAGTTTTCAGGATACCAGAGAAATCAAAATGCTATGTTGTATGAAGTAAAGTTCATATTTCATGGTGCCTAGGCCCATATCTTCTGTGTTTGGTCTTCCTTCAAATCTGTGTATACACTACTAGCAGCATTTCCAGCTGGATACGTTTTTATGGGCTGCAGTAGATACTCAGCAGACTGAGACCATATAACAGGGCACATGGCTAGCAACCCCTTAAACAATAAACATGCTCTTATCCTGCAAATGCATGTTCAGGACATGCATAATTGCCCACATAGCTATCTATAAAGCTGGTATCTAATGGTATATCACCATCAGCCTAACTTTCACTCCAGGATACTGAATCAGTCGTCCTGATGAGTGCCTGCTCTTTCTTCACTTCCTAATTTCTTTGCCAGTTTAATACAATCCTGGCCAGTTCTTTCTCAAGCCTTTCCTGTGCAATATGGTCTTGCGAACTTTGCTGATAAGCTTCTGGGGAGTTTCAAACCGAGAACCTAGTAACGGACCAGTTGGATTTGCCTGTTCCTGCTCCTCTGTGTGTCTCCAGACTTCCCCCCTTGACATAACTTCATTCCAATTTACTTCCTGATACTGTACTTCCAGATGAGCTTTCTGTGTCTTCATGGAATTTTATGGGGCACCAAATGATACCGTCACATGCCTGTCACATGTTTCAAAAGCCATATTTCTATCTTGTCCCTTAATACACAAAATTCATTAAGGAAAAAAGAACGGCTGCGGAATACCTTCTGGTTGCTAATCCTAGGAGCCCTCCATCTGGAAGAACCGTCATTTACCTTTTAGTTATCCTGTTCCTGCCTCTGTCCTGAGATACTTCATAGAACATATGCCTTTAGACAATCCTGCCAGTTCAACCATGGATTGAATCTCCCCTTGTTCACACCTTATATTCTATTGTAATCTGCCATGTCAGATATGGCATCTAAGGGAATATTGTGTTATGAAATTGTGACCTTTCCAGTTTTTGGCCTACAAGTTCCACCAGCCCTAGGGAGCGTAATGCATGGCAAGAGATAATGGGAGAGACAGCCCTCCAAATGCTTTTGCCTACAAGTTGCCCATCTGTATCTTGCTTTAACATTTCTCCTTATGGAAATAGTCACACAAACAAAGGCATGGTATAAAAGAACATAGGAAGAGGCCTTATACCAAGCCAGGCCCTTGGGCCATCTAGTTGTTGTCACCAACTGGCAGAGCTTCAGGGAGGAGACTTTCCAGCCAAATCTGGAGCTGCCAAGGATTGAATGCATGAGGACTTTATCTAGAAAATAGGAAAATGAAGGAAAGAACCATTTCTTACAGACACTATCACAAAATTGCATATTAGTAATCTTTTATATAATACAATGTAATGCAATTCACATATGGGAACCTACAAGAAACGCCTGCCAATTCCAAAAAGAGTGATTAACCAATATTTTTGATTGATTAGCATACCTATTGAGCAAGATGTACACACATCCTGTGTTTACTAAACAACTGTCAAATTAAGCCAGAGTTCAACAGTTGAGAGATGAGACTTTCCCAACATTTCTAATTAATGGTATGAGTAACAAATTCTAAATTCAGTGACTTCCAGATGGCTTTTCCAAAAACAAACCTTGTCTACCCAATGCAACTACCAGTTTATGTAAACTT